TGACGACGCTTGAGATCGTAGCACACGCGGCAAACAAAAGCACTGCCCAGTCGGCATCAGACCATGTTCGCTCAAGGGTGGGCTAGGCTCCTGTGGAAGATTCGCGACACGTTTAGTGCACTGGCTTGGCTGCAAATCCCGAGGCGGCCGTCCTGCCGATCCTTGACGTAGCCTTCTGACGAGGTCACGTGGTGGTGACGCGGCCTCAGGTGACGAGATGACGGTAGAGATAGGTGTTCAAAACTTTGATGACGACGCTTGAGATCGTAGCACACGCGGCAAACAAAAGCACTGCCTAGTCGGCATCAAACCATGTTCGCTCAAAGGCGGGCTAGGCTCCTGTGGAAGATTCACGACACGTTTAGTGCACTGGCTTGGCTGCAAATCCCGATGCGGCCATCCTGCCGATCCTTGACGTAGCCTTCTGACGAGGTCACGTGGTGGTGACGCGGCCTCAGGTAACGAGATGACGGTAGAGATAGGTGTTCAAAACTTTGATGACGACGCTTGAGATCGTAGCACACGCGGCAAACAAAAGCACTGCCCAGTCGGCATCAGACCATGTTCGCTCAAGGGTGGGCTAGGCTCCTGTGGAAGATTCGCGACACGTTTAGTGCACTGGCTTGGCTGCAAATCCCGAGGCGGCCGTCCTGCCGATCCTTGACGTAACGTTCTGACGAGGTCACGTGGTGGTGACGCGGCCTCTACAAACGAGATGACGGTACAGATAGGCGGTCCAAACTTGGATGAGGGCGCTTGAGATCGTGGCGGCACGTGGCAAACAAAAGCGTTACCCAGCAACTGACAATGTTTGCTCAAGCGTGGGCAATGCCCATCACATTTTATGGATCTCACATCTCCCTCTTCCACCCCTCGGTAACCCCACCTCTCTGACCTTCCTCTCCAACCCCGAGCGGATCACTACGGCCACCACATTCTTAAATTAAGTGTTCCTGTCTGCGTGCATCAAGCCCTCTCTGGAGTACCCCACCAGAGGGGCCTGGACTGAGGCCCCCTGCTCATATTCTTTGGGCCTAATAAAGTTGCATCTCTCGCTCTCTCCTGTGGAAGATTCGCGACACGTTCAGTGGACTGGCGAAGCTTGGCTGCAGATTCTCGGCATAGTCCATGTTTAGACTGCCCGCTTGACCTGAAAGCCTGCCTTCCACATAATATAAGAGATATGTCTTCCTCAGCAGGCATGGATGAAACAAATGTAAAAGTTTTGAGAAGTAACAATGAATTATCGAGCGTGATATTGGCTAAATGTTTTAGAGCACAGCTCATAGGGGCTCGTTCTCGTGTTTCGCGGCGTCGGCGACGCCGTCTCCGTCAGCGTAACTGCGCGCGTTGCATTATGGGACGTCAGAGACCTATGCACCATTTCAATCCCCTGCTAAATTTAGCGAAGAAACTGAATTGGTGTGTACGTCTGTGACGTCCTATAATACAACACTGCGCATTGAGTTCTCTCGCTAAATTTAGCGGTAAAACTCGCGTCACATGACCTAAACACCAATTCTGTTTCCCCTCTAAATTTAGTGGGGAATTAAATTGGTGTTGAGGTCACGTGCCGCCGATTTTCCAGCTAAATTTGGCGGAGAAACTTTGGGAGACGGGGAGGGTATGGAGCAGGAGGAGAAGGAGGACGAGGAATTCAGGATTGGAGATGAGGAGGAGGAGGAGGGGAAGGTCCTCCGTACTCTCCTCTCCTCCTCCTCTTTATATAAAGAATATTATAATAAATAATTATATATATATATATATATAGTCACCTAGACCTTTCATTTTATCCTTTTTTTAAGAGAAACAAGCGGTTTATCAATACGATACCCGTTCGTCACCTCTGACTCTTGTTTATCTTGAGGCTCCTTTTAGAGCGCAGCTCTTAACGCTCATTCACACAGGAAGCGGATCCGCGTTCACAAAGCGGTTGCGAACGCGGTTGTATAAAGATCCAGTACAATTGCACGCGCACTTGATGTCATCGAGTGCGCGTGCAATTGTACTGGATCTTTATACAATCGCGTTCGCAAACGCTTTGCGAACGCGGGTCCGCTTCCAGTCTCAATGAGTGGTTAGGCGCCTTGAGCGGCGTCGCCGTCGCCGTCGGCGTAACCGCGCGTTGCATTATGGGACGTTTCCAATAATGACGTCACACGTGATGTCACGAAGGTCACCAGGGTCTCACGCGACATCACGATTGACGTCACGAAGTTCGCTCGTGAAGGTCACGACCTTCACAGTGAAGCTCAAGTGAAGGTTGTGAAGGTCACATGAAGGTCGTGACCTTCACGTGACCTTCACATGAAGCTGCCGAAGGAGGGGAGGAGGAGAAGGAGATCAGAAAGGTGGAGGAGAGGAGGAGGGGACGAGGAGAGGGGACGCATTATTGCAGCCCCTGCCTCCGGTTATCACACATCTTATCTTTAGTACCCCGTCATCATCATACGGGCTGTGCTCACGCCCAAAAACAAGAACAGTCGCGTTTCAAATTTTTGTATTTTCACGCACCGCCATTGATTTGAACGGTCTTCCCTCAAACGTTGTCGCAACTCCTGACACAACAGAATTTGAGGCACTTCTATTAGGCCTCGTAGTCCAAATTTGTGCGGAACTATTTTGTGTGTATATTTTTCATCTACTACGACGTTTTGTCTTTGAATTGCTTCTATGCGCTATTTCTCGATGAGTTTTCGCCACCCTTTTTTTGTGTTTTCTACTTTCCCTTTATGTACCCCCAATGGGTCCTTAATGTATTGAAATAAGTAAATAAATAAATAAATAAATAAATAAACGTGACTGCTCTGAAAATCGTCGGCATATTTAAATATTGGTTTTGTCACCAATGTCACTTGTCGATTTCACCATAAGTATTCTGAATTTTGCGATACTAAATATTATACCGGAAAGGGTAAAGGCCGGTGATTCCGAAGGTACAGTTAGTTGGGGTTTCTAAAAAGTCGCCGGAGTACTTCTTTAACATTGAAAGACTTTGAGCAAATCTGCTCAGGTCTGTGACAGCCTAAATAGGCGCTGCGACGATTTTTGTAGTTAGCGCAAATTCTGTTTAGAATGCATATATTATGGTAATAGCCCATGAGAGACGCGTTTATGTTTATTTCCACGCAATAGTGATTACAGAAATTATAGTGAAAGAAAACGAGCAGAGTCCGCTTTCTTGATTCGTAGTCAGAACAAGAAGCCACGTGATCAAGAGCCGATTAGATTAGATTCCACCAATGTTTATGGAATCGGCGCTGGGGTTTGCGAACCTCAGGACGCACGCTGAGTTGAGACACTGCTATGGTTAGGCTGTTGTCGTCATTGTAGCGATTGGACACGAGCCACTTCCCGAATGTTTGTCGAGCCATTGATCATCACAAGCCCCAATTGAGTGCTCGCGTTATGCTCGGGTTCAGTCTATGAGCTAAGTTGAGAACTCGTCACTCGGGTGATTGTGCCAACACCGCGACATCTTAGATAGGTCCTCAAATTTTGTAAATAAAAAAACTAAAATAAGCAAACTTTTTTTTTTTAATTACACCGGAACATATAGACGTCTCTTGGTCAGTGGAATTGCGTGGGAGTACACTTAGGTCCCACTAGTGCCACCAAGCTTGCGTGAACTGAAAAAAAAAAAAAAAATCCATCTGAATATTGTTGCACCACACCGGTAAGAGGCGCTGGTCGTGGCAAACCCTAACCTTAGCCGATAAGAATGCCGAAGAGCAAATCACGAAGCATATGATATACGTGGGTATAATCAACCACGGGCGGCATTTTTTTTTTATCACTCAGCGATTTTAGTGTGGTTGAAGGAGCTGATTCGGGGCGGGGGCAGCAACTTGCCGGTATCCTGTCTGTGCAAAACGTGAAAGTGTCGATGTAGCAACTTGAGAGGGACAGGATGCGTCCAGGTGCGATACTCTTATCACCAGGTAGCCTATCTGATAGCCACGTCACTCTGAAAAAAGAAGAAAAAAAAAAACAACAAACAAGGAGGCCCCCATCGAGTAGCGACAGACGTCGTCATAAGTAAAGCAAAACCATACCAGAGCGTGGACAAACTTCAACGAGACCTCTGCACGTTTTCCTGTAGCCTTTTACTGCATTTATTGCCCCTGAGACAGCTTTTATAGTTCTCCACTTGCAAACATCGCGATTATGCAAAATATTTGATAACTAACGAGAGACTACAAATAAATATGCACAGTCTACCGAACAACGTTTTAGCGAATGTGCCTCTTCGCACTCAGTGTTAAGAGTATGATATTTCCTAAACGTTTAAACTAGTCTCATAAATTGTTCTATTTTGTTTTTGCGCACTAAAAACTTGACAAAACACCTTTCCAGTAAGATACCACGAGTGCTAGGGGGAAAATAAGCCTTCTTTCGCGTTCGCACACTTACAATATTCCGTTACCTCTAACTAAACTTTAGAGAGAGAAAAAAAAAAAAAAAAGGATTTGCCTAGCAGGCTGCGGTACGGCCGAATCATGGCGTACGTTCTCTTAAATGCCGCGGCAGAAAAACACAGTATCAGGAGAAAAAATAACACTTCTAAATCACTTTACATTAAATTGATTTTAAATTTAAAAAAAAGTTGACCCTGGATAATATTTTTGTGAGTGTATCTAGATAATAAAGAAAGGAATGACCCAAACAATATGGGAGTAAACCTACACAAAATAGTTTTGCATGGGCAAGTTTTTTTTTCTTTTTTTTAAGCGCGCGAGCTTAGTTTAGTTGGTAAATCTCGGCTGGTCAGGGGGGAAGTTGTAATCTTCTCGAAAGCTGACCTCTCGAGCACGTTGACCCAAAAATTAAAAATAAGACGAATAAACATTAACAAAACAACATAGCACACAAAAGTTCGCAAAAAAAAAAAAAAAAAAAACTTTCTCGGGAAGCCACATCAGCGAGCGCGTGCGCATGTTTGTGCCGTCCAACCTTGGCCAACTTAATCAACCGGAGGCCAAGATACGAAGGAACGAAGCGCCAGTGCCGCTGATAGCCCTTCGGGCCTCGTTCCTGAAAACAGGCGTCGGCGACGCATCCCGCCCCTTCCAGCCTCCCGCCCCTTCCGACGATAAAAGAGTTACGCCGACTTTCACCCAAGCAATAGCGTCCCCGACGCCTGTCCACTGGCTTCATCGGCTGTCTGGACACTGCAGCCATGGGAACTTCGGTGTTCCATTGTCTTCTCGTACCGCTGCTCCTGGTCGTGCTGGTCACGGCACAGGAGCCGCCAACGGAGAAACCCGTGGATCCTGACGCGAACAGGAATGTGGTGAGTGGGCTGGGAATACGTCGGGGAGTCGCCAATCATAGATATGTAAAGAAATCGAAATGAGAAGCGGCCTTTACGTAAATTATGTCTGCTTTCTCGGGGTGTAAACCTCTGAAGTCACTGACAAAGCGAGAACGGTAAGGAGGAAGATTCAGTCGGCCCGTCATTGGCGGGAGCTTCCTACCTTTGATGGCGCTTCGATGTTTTGTGACCCTCGAGCGCGCGCGCGCAGCCAAAGCACGGTGGAAGACGTATAAAAGGCGCGTGCTGGGGACCGGGTGTTCGAAAGGCACGCTCAGATGTTTTCCATCTGTCATCTGTCGATCCGCGACAGTTGTTTTATTTGTTCTTGGATATCGGACATTATTTTCAGTGAAGCTCTTTGTATTCGACGCCAGTTAACCCTGCGCTTGAGCCCTTAGTTTTTGTCCGGAACTTATACAGTGTAGCAAACCAGCACAAAGCGCTGGATGACGTCGCTGTTTTAATAAACGCCTACTTCTCTCACTTTACTTTTGTTTATTTTTTCGAAGGAAAACAAATGTTAATAAACTTCTCTTTTGCTTTGCTCGCGTCAGCTCCAAACAAGCGCAACGGGAAATTGCGCAACATTTGATGTTCGGACCCCCGGGGCCGTAATCTGGACGCTTGGCGGAAAAGGTCGGCGAGAAATACGAGCGCCGTGATTGTTCGGCGCCGAGGTCCAGCACGGCGCCAACCAATCACTTCCGTCGAATTCGTCGCCGACTGTTTTAGCCGAGTGTGCAGATTAGAAGAACCCAGGTCTTACTTTCATGGAGATACATAAGTGTTTGCGCTTATCCAGAAACTCCTTCCACTTCTCGGGAGTAACTGCGCGAATACTTCGTTGTGATACAAGGGCGAGTCACGTTTAGCTTCGGCAGTGTTTAATTTTCTTTTTATTAAAGCATAAAAATGTTTTTTTTTTTTTAACGAACTCCTCCCTTAAATCCCAGAATTATGTCCGTCCGAGCATATTCCGCTAAATTTAGAGCGAAGAAGACGTCACCTGACCTGACGTCACGTGACCTAAGCAAGTTCCTTTACTAAATTTAACGGAGAAATAAACGTCTTAATGTAGCAATTTAGGCCAGTTGGTTTATAATAATAGACAAGCGCCGAAAAAATAGACGGGGACAAGAGGTTCGCGTAAACACTGACGCACTCGCAATTAACATTTATTCAAAAAACAGTATCTTATATAGCCGTGAAAAATGTCAGTCATGACTACACGCGGTGTAGCCCTCTACCGAGACATTCATATTCTTTTGCCGATAAGGTTTTCGAAGTGCCACTTGTACACCTCGTGCTTCTGGTTTCAATCTGAAACCCCTCGTGTAGCTTTCCAGATAGTTTATCTGGGTATCTAGACAAAAATTCGGTATCATCAAATGGCGGGGAACAAGCATTCATATTGTTTTGCCGATAAGGTTATAGATAAAGACATCTTGCCATGCACTGCAGCCGCTGCCCTTGCTCCCCGTCATTTGATGATGAGACATTTTTGGCTAGATACCAAGATAAAATATCTAGAGAGCTACACGAGGCGTTTGAGATTAAAGCCAAAGGCACAAGGTGTAGAAGTGACACATCCATAAGCTAATTATCGGCAAAAATATTAACATCTTGATAGGGGGCTACACCAACTGTAGTCATAATTGACGTTTTTCGCGGCTATATAAGATATTGTTCTTTCAATAAATGTTTGTTGCGAGTGCTCCAGTGTTTACGTCAACTTCTTGTCCCTGTCTATGTTTTCGGCACTTGTCGACGAAAATGGACGTCGCGTGACCTGCCCACTAATTCAGTGTCCCCGCTAAATTTAATGGGAGACTTGGACGTCATATGACCAATACACCGATTCAAATTACCCGCTAAATGTAGTGGGAAAATTGACGTCACGCAATCCATATACCAATTCAAACCCCGCTAAATTTAGTGAGGAAAGGGATTTCAAGTGACCCACTCACGTACAGTGACAACGCATGCACCTTCTTTCCCCTTTCCCCTCTCTTCTCCCTTTCTTCACTCCTCTTCCCACTGCACCCCCTCCTCCCTCCCACCTGCCACCCTTTTCCCTCTCTCTTTATTCCCCCTTTCCTTCCTCTCCCACTCCCCCTCTTCACATTCTCCACAAACATCCCTTCTTTCCCTTCTCCGTTACTCCTCTCTCCGCACCTACCTCCTCCACTTTCCTTCCTCCCCTTCAGTCCCCCTCCCGACCACTCTCTTTTCACTTCGCTCTCCCTCTCCCTCCTCCTTGTCCCTCCCTTTCTCTTCTCATTCCTTTCTCATCCTTTCTCTCTCTCCCTTCTTTCGCCTCCCCCTTATCCTTCCCTTTCTCTTCCCTCTTCTCTCTCATTCCTTCCCATCTTTCTCCCCTTCTCTCCTTCTCCCTCCTTCTGTCTCTCCCTTGTCCCTTCTTCTCCCCTCCCTCCCCCCCTACAGCTACATACCCTTCCCTACCTCCCCTCTCTCTCCACCTTCGGTGTCCTCTTACGGTGTGACTAAAGTCAGTGGATCCTGGGAAAACAGCGCTATTGCCTTCCCTGCCTGCTAGAGGGACAGAAACAAATGCTAACACGAAGACAACCAAACTTCGCAAGGTGATTGGTTGATTGGCCTCAGTTGTCATGGCAATCGCCATTTCGGTCCATTGAAATCTCGGAATCTTCCAAAGGATCGTTCTGAGCCAGTCGCTTCAAAATCGTTATGGAGCATCATCGTGCTAAAAGCGTTCCTCGTCAACATAAGCGTTTTTGGAGCTGTGCGTGCCATACACTTATCAATCATGCTTATTTACACACATCTCTTATATTGATATTGTTGTTATTGCCTATATGAAGACCATACAATTATTTTTCAATGTCGCCAAGCACCGTGGCCACTTGTGGTTGCGGTGCGAAGATGCGTGCTTGCTTCGCCTGGATGCAGATTACAAAATGTCGGCATTCAAGAAACGTCTCTCTAGAGCTACCCCTCACCAGCAAATTTATATCAGATTACGAAGAATGGAAAGGTGAAAAAGAAATTGATTATTACAGGAACCAAAATGGCGACAAATACGGGGAGATGGGCGCTAGTTTCCGAAGGTCCATTTACTATAGGTGTGACCAACACGAGCAAGCCCAGTCCCATCAACGTTATAAAGTGGTATTGTACCTTCATTGCATTTGACGGAATGTCTTATCCGGGCGATTCAGACTTCAATCTCAGGTGCCACTGCTTAAATGTTTTCGCAATAAACGTGAACTATCGCTCATTAAGCGCTGCATTTTATGCATTGTAGGACTTTGGAGGTAACGGTTTCTACCGATTTTTAGATCATTAATCATGTGGTTACCGCGGAAAGAAGGCGTCCAGCTTTCTGCCGAAGGTTACTGTTGTAGGAGGTGGGGCGAGCTATTGCTTGGACTCGCCAATGACTAATCATGGTATAAAGGCCAATGACTTGTTCCCCGCAGGCATTACGGGACAGTGTGCACACAGTAAATTCAGGGAAGGTGTATGCTCAGCTGGGCTGAATTAAACGCCGCTCATGTATTAAACATGTTACAAAGAAACGCTGTAATTTCGTGATAAGGAATGGTATACTAAGACAAGAAATAATACGTACAGTTCTAATAATTCATTCTTAGGGGTAAAAAATCGTAGGTATACTCTTGGCATAATTTTGTCTTTTGTTGTATTCCATACATGTTCTTGAGCTAGTGTAGAAGTTATTCGACTTTCTGATGATTTAGTTTTTCTACTCGCGCTATCTTTGGTACGCACAAATATGCTCAGATGCTATTACACAAATTAATTTTTTACAGATCAGGGTTCCCTTTGTGCCCGAGTTTGGTGTGATGGTCACTATACCTTTAAATAGAAAACCACTATGCACGCATTTACCTCAAGAACCACAGTAAGAATGTCCTACTCCTCATGTAACGTTTCGAATTTCCCACTTTCTGTGTTGCATTTAGGTAGATGTACGTGTGTCTCAGATTAGATTTACGTTATTTTATCAGGGTGTACACACCTGACTAGCACAAATCGTCGCTTCCTCCATCGACAACCGAATCTTGTAAGAACCACTCCGCGCAGCATATGAATAATGGGCTAAACGTGTTTTCTTTCGTGTGATAACCAGTATTGATTTTCACAATGAAAACATAATAATGGTCTACTTATGCAGCTTTTGGTATATGTTTTACAATGTAAAAAAACGGGTACAGAAAATTAGAATTTCGAATTTGCCTGTTCCTGCATCATTGCATTTTTTTTTAGCTTGGTACTCAGAACTGGTTTTTGGACTGCCAATCTTGATTCGTAGTGTACCACACTAGTTTCGAGAGTTCTAATTGCCCAACGCATTTAAAACATTATAGAAACTGGATTGCACTGATTCGATGATATCAAGCTTGTGCCAAAGGTGTTTCGCTCCAAAAGGCCGACTCATGACTGTAAATTAGGGTAAAAAAAATCACGATTTAAAATAAAATAAAGTATTTATTTTCAGTTTCAAAATTTTTTTTTCATTTCAAAGTGATTTCATCTGAAATGGTTCGAAAAAAAAGTGCGTCCTCGAAATTTTTTGAAAAATGTATGTTAGTGGATTGTTGTGTGTCTAAAACAACTGGGAATTAAAATTGTTGAAAAATATGTATTCTTGAGTATTGGGCGTCGAAAGGGCAGAAGGGACACGTCCTGAGATTTTTGCAGCTTTCACACGTGACAAACTTGAGAGTATCGCAACGTTTAAAATGTTTTGTTTTCGAACAAGAACTTTCTTACTGCTCTAGTATCAAATTAGTATGATTTCAATCACTGTAGCTAGAGAGTAGTTACTCTTTATCACAACATTATTTTTAACATGGCAGATTGATCTATCTGTCCGACCGCTGATGCGGAAGAAGTTCTGTAAACTTAAAGTGCAGTTTAATTAACAGCTTTTATTGGTGTAACCCCCGCCATACTAAAACATAAACATTTTTTTTTACTTAGCTAGAATGCCTAATTTTTTGTATTTCGTATTCTTATACGCTTGCAATATTACATTACATTTCTAGTTTTGGTTTCTTCTTTTCGCGTTCTGATTTGAATGGAATAGAACGTTACATAATCATAATCATGATGATAATGTCTTTATTTTCTGCCCGTAAACAACCAGTATAGGTCTCTAATATGGCACAATAAGAAGTAGGTATTACATATATAAACCATAATTGAGTTTAAGTGACGAATATACTAGAGACACTGAACTTACATGTGACAAGTAGTGAAAATGCATAACTAAGGAAGAAAATTTATATATACTTTGTCTCATCCTACGATGGACTAAAGGCCAAAGCCACGGGCCGCCATGTCCAATCACGTTCCACGCTATACTATGACAGGCTTAACATTGATGAGGGGTGGACGAATAATGCTTGAATCCAAAAGCGCCACATCATTTCTATAGCTTCGACGCTACAAAGAGCCTATATGTCGTGGCTTTCTTTGCGATGTAAAATTGTTGAGTCACTCAGTGCTCTTCGATTCGAACCACTGTCCACCCGTCCCCTCATCAGTGATTCGAGACGCGGGCACCGATACGTGCATCGAAGCGAAATACCGCACAATTTCTGAGTGGCTCGTGATTGGATCTGGCGGTCTGTAGCTTTTGCCTTTAGCCCATCGTAGGGTGAGACGAAGTATAGTGCAGACTCCTTTTTAAAATTCCCAGAGTTCTCAAAAACGCCTAGGTACGCATGACTAAAGCTATTCACAAATGTCTGCATTATAGTTGTCGCGTTCCTATTGGGCTCGCGTGCGCGACGGGTAATAATCCAGACAAGCAGGAACGTTACTAAATCATTTACTTAAAACTAAACCAATCTAACTAGACAAAGAACGTGGACGTCCGTCGGTCAGCAGGGATTGAAGGTGATGTCTCGCGCCTTCTGCCTGTTCCTTCGATCCTCGCGCATCTACCGAGCTCGGGTCCCATCTTTTTCTTGCCTTCAACTTGTCGATCCCCGAAGCCTGCAGGAGCTTCGGCGAATGTTGTTTCGGCAAAAGGGCACGTGCCACCACAGAGTTATGGGTAATGCCATGTAGTGCTTGTGAGAGTAAAGAGTAATAGCAGTCCTATCCGACCGAAGGGGTATTTTTAAATCCACAGTGCACAAAAGTTGAGAGTCAATGTCCCTGTAAAGTGATTTGCGCCAAAAATGCACCCTTCTGGCGGATAGTCCTTGCAGGCCGAATTTAGCAAGAAGCTCATAACTGCGAAAAAGCCTTCGACCTATATATCTGTCATAATTTTACGGGCAAGGCGCCGCTGAACATGTTACATTTTCGCTTCATCGCATGCACTAAGCGAATTCCACACAATAGAGCCAAATTCTAGTCTTGATTTGATAAAAAAAGAGAAGAAGTATAAGCTAGCATGATTTGCAAAACGTTTAGTTAAACGATTAATAATTTCGAGCATTCGAACTGCAGAACCGACCATATGAGTTACATGACAACTAAACGAAAGAGAACAATCAAAGTAGACTGCGAGATTACGAAGCATTGACACTCGTGTAATACACTTACCATCAACATAATATCAATAAGGCACTGTTTCACATTTTTTACTGAAATACAGGACTTTCGTTTTATTGGAATTAGTAACCAAACAGTTTTTTCAACATGAGGTTAGAATACGCGGGGCATCGCTTTGTAGAAGTTCGCAATCATCAATCGAGCTGATACTCTAGAAAAGCCTGATATCATCAGCGAATAAGAACATTCTTGAATTGACGACTGGCGAGCGAAGGGTCAGGTAGAACGAAAGATCATTGCTCAGATTTTCTCAGAAGAAGACTGCTTTTTTCTCTTGCTCAACCTAATTCAAGACTTTCTTGCCTGATGATTCTTTGATTTCAGTACAACACAAATAAATATAGACAGCATCAAATGATAGACACAAGGTAAACACAAATAATTTTCAGGATTATTTATGCAAAAATGAAAAAAATTTAATTTAATTAAAAAAAACAGAAAAAAGCAGCGGGTGCGCAGGCGAGTTGGTGGATGTAGATTTTGTTTAAAATTACTGGAAACTACTAAGAGAGGAAACAACTATATGCCTCCCACCTTTTACAACAGTCTCGGATAATTTTCAACACGATTTATGTTATTGTAGGAAAACTGGTTTGACCGAAATTAAGACCTAAGTTTTGATATAAATAATGATTTAAATCTCCACCCTGCCATAAATAAATCGCAAATCCCTTAAAACAGATTGTTTTTCTTCGTTTTATTATGTAATGTAGTAATCTTTTCATCGTATGCGCACAAAACAATATCGCTATATTTCGTTTTACTCAACGTTACTAAAACACTCAATTAGAAAACTCACCCCCTGAAACCCGGACTGCTCGCGTCCACCGAGACCGAACTGGATACGATAACAGCGTCGTGCGTTAGCGACGAGTCGAGACATGAAAGGTAATTTATAAAGCTACTGCGATGTGGCACCGCGAGATGGCGCCACCGGCCCTTGCACGACTGTATGCGTGACTCGACTTGAACCAAGGAGGTATGAGTACTATACTTCGTTTCAGCTTCGGTCCGAGCGCGGCAGATGTTATGAGCGAAAGGGCCAATCAAACAGCGTAAAGAGCGCAACGTCATGGCGTGCGCTCTGCGCTTGATAGGACTAGCCGGCGAAGGAGAACGCACAGAGAGCACGCTGGTCCTATCAACTGCAAAGAGCACGCCATGACGTTGTGCCTCTTTCGCTGTTTGATTGACCCTTTTGCTCATAACATCTGCCGCGCTCGGACCGAAGCTGAAACGAAGTATAGGGGGGCACGTTGCAATATTGGTGAAGCCTAGTCATAAAAAGTTTGAACCATATTGTGCCCAACGTGACCGCAGATCTCTCTGGCGATTGGTGCGCGTGACATGTCACGTGCGAGATGGATGGTTGATTGTAGGAGGATTCCTTGCAGGCTTGCTCGCGCTCCGTCCGGTAGGTTTTATCAGATCGAAGGCTAGACGAAGGCTAGCTACGGTCACGTGATGAGGTCATGTTGGGCTGATAAGTGAAAAGAGTATGAGGAAAATGAGAAAGAGGCGAGGCGTCAAAGGTGCATGGCTTGTGCAGGCTACGCGGCTGACGTCATGCCCTCTCCTACCCATCTATCCTCCTTGACCTGAACCAATACGTGCAGCAGTGCAGTTCCCGGACTGGCCGCTGCGGGAGAAATGGCGGCGTCGCGATCGCCTTTAGTTCGGTTCTTGAGTACGGATCGGAGCGTTTTTCGAAGCAGGCCCTACAGTAGTTTCGCAACTGAGTTGTTCTAGTAACGTTGTTTTTGCTTTAGTCAGTACCGAGGCTCATTCACAGTTGTGATTGGAGTAGTCAGGTGATAGGAAACGCACCAAGGCGATAAGCAGCGTGACGTTGCACTTTTGGGACTACTTTATTGGCTCTATCGGATCGAAGCGTTGTCTGTGTTGGACTTGTGAAACGGAGTATAGTATATATTTGCTCTTTGCTTCATCGATTTTATCGCTGTTGACTTCTTCCTTGTTTAGTATATGGCAAAAATTATACTAGACATAAAACTAATAGTGTCATATAATTCTTTCCCCAGCCCTTAAAAAGATAATTTTTTGTTCCGACCTTCAAAAAATATAATTCTCTTTTTTTTCTAGTCCCAGATTATTGCCGACAAGGGCTACCCGGTCCAAGAGTTCGAGGTTGTTACGAGTGACGGCTTCGTCATAGGTGTGCAGAGGATTCCGTCCGGCAAGACTGGCTCCTCCAGGCCACATCTCCGAGCGAAGAAGACCGTGTTCCTACAACACGGTCTGCTGGGCTCCTCGGCTGACTGGGTCGTCAATTACCCGTCTCAGAGCCTCGGTGCGTTGTTCATCCTCGCCACATGTTTGCTGTTCGATCCGAGGAGGGAGCTAGATCCCAAAGCGAATGATCTCTGATATGCTTGCGTCCTATACTATATCGCATCTAATTATGGGACGAAAAGACTTATATTTGGTTATAAATATTTTTTTTTTAATCTTTGTTAACTTTTTTATAGTCTGCGACGTGATACTGGATGTTGCGGAAGGAATACACACAAGGGCGGACAAAACGCAAAAAAAAAAAAGTGTAAATTCATTGATTTTTTAAAAGACTTTAAAAACCCTGAGTGAGGGTATTACATAAGGGAGTGGGTTAAAAAAATAGTGAGATTAACATTACCCGGAATTAATCGATGTCTTGAACATTTTCGATGGCTTCAGGCAGGCCGTTCCAGTCCACAGAAGTCGCCGAGAAAAAATAGTTAGGAATGATGTATTTCGAATGAAAGGAAAGCCAGCTTTTCAATGGTGATCAATCCGTGGTAATATGCGATAAGGTGGCAAGATAAATGAATTGTGTAGATGATCATCGAAGTAAAACCTATGGAAAATGCATAATTTAGCGACGCGCCTGCGTGGACACAAAGGGGTTAGTGATGACTTTTGTTTAAGTTCAGTAACACTAACAAACCTAGAGTATCAAGACGTTATAAAGCGAGCGGCACGATTTTGAACTGGCTGGAGGTCGGATAGAAGGTATTTAAGATGAGGGTCCCGGAATGACGACGCATATTCTATTTTCGGACGTACGAATGTGACATATGCAAGTCGCTTCACAGATGGGGACGCGAGACGAAGACTACGGCGCAAGAGACCAATGCGGAGGGCAAGTTCGTCTGCTCCTTGCGCAGGGGGTAGCGGTGACGTCAGAACGCCGAGCCCTGATTGGCTGATCGAGCCCCCCTATCTGAGCGTCGTCTGCTTCTTTGCAACGTCGTCTGCTCGCAACGTCGTCTGCGTCTGTCTTACGTTTCCTGCGACTTTCGGAAGTGCAGAGGCCAGATTCACGAAACGATCTTACGCCAAAAATGTGCGTAAGACAAAACTTAAGAACAAATTCGTATTCACGAAACGAAATTTTCGTAAGTTTTGCGCAGGTTACGGCGAAATCCTACGACAGCTCCGAAGCTGTTACGCACTTACGATCAAGTCAGCATGGCCGACAGCGTCGCGGTCGCGACGACCCACGGACGTTTATTTTTCTACGTGAGCTTCTCACGCGTCCTGACTTCAAGCAGCAAAAAAAAAGTAAAAATTATTTGAAACAGAGCACGACGAACAAGAACGCTGGATCCACAGACACCGGGGAAAAGCTCCAACGGCGACGATTCCACCGAACGCGACCAAACGAGCTGGGCAGTTAGGCCTAGGAGGCACTCCGCGACTCGGCGACCGTCTGCCCACGACCGGCTGACGTGCTGAATGGAATATGCCCGCGCGACCCTTGTGAACCCTTCTCGTGTTATACTTTGATCGCTGACCTCAATTTTAGATAAAGAGGTCAATTTCTTCCTCTTGTTATCTCCTTGTTTCCCGAGGCAACGGTGACTCTCGCCGGTGAAAAAGCGGCGAATCTCCGACAGACGCAGGAAAGGTAAAGCAGCCATCGCTTTGACTAGCAGACGTAAAGCAGACGACGTTAACTGCGCCAACCCGCCGGCGCCGTTAAAGAGTGAGGGGTCTCGCCGCACACGAATGGAGGGAAAAAGTATTTGGGAGGGAACTTGCGGACACAAAGCAAACAAACCTCGGCGCCCCGGGACACCTCGCCAGTGAGTCCTTTGACTTCCCTCCTTGATGCGCGTCTGCTAGTTGTTAGACGAAAACAACGTACCGCTCGAGTTATTTCGTCTGCCCTCCCTTAAAGGCCAAGTCGAGTTCGCTCCGAAAGTCGCAGGAAAGGTAAGACAGACGCAGACGATTTTGCGAGCAGACGACGTTGCAAAGGAGCAGACGACGCTCAATAGGGGGTCGCGATCAGCCAATCGGGACTCGGCGTTCTGACGTCACCGCTACTTCCTTTTTCATGCGCAGAAGACGAAAATGAGCCCACTTGCGAGGCGTATAGCCCGATTTGAGTCAGAAATTGACACAGAATCTCTATTAAGATTACCAACAGACTAGGAAGAGTGAAAACATTGAAGGAGTTCGATAGGAGAGGCATTTGGATTTTGATATACTTGTAGCATCTGGCACTTTGAACACCAATTGTTAATTCGGTTTAGATCAACCTGTAGGTTAAGGAAATCATCTGTGTTAGCTATGGCTCTATAGACCACACAGTCATTAGAAAACCGACGTTAGAAGGCAATGAAAGAGGGAGGCCATCTTGGACCGTTTCTTTTTAATATGTACATTAATGACATTGTAAACATAAGTCCTGCAAAATTTGTGATATATGCCGACAACAGTAGCCTATTCTTTTCTTCAGATAACAGAGATGATCTTGTCACAATCGCCAATGACACTCTGTCCAAGCTTGGGGCATGGGCAAAAGATAACTGCTTAAAAATTAATACAGATAAAACTAAAGCTATAATTTTTCGACCCACGAATAAGAAATAGTTAGAATAATAAATCTAACGAGAAGCATTGTGCTTGACTTTACGCCAATTGAAATTGTCAGTAATTTTAAAAGTCTTGGAGTCATATTTTTGGAACATGTGTTGTGGGAGCAGTCACATTAACCACTTACTTGCAAAATTATCTACCATCATAGGTCTGACATTACGTAACGGCAAAACACTCCCAGTCAGTGCGAAGCTATTAATTTACAATTCTTTATTCTATTCTCGTCCGAGCTCCTGCAAGCTCGCCTGGGGTAACACCACATTCACAAACCCGCAAAAATTATTTTTATTGCAGAAAAAAAAAATGGTTAGAATAATATGCAACCTGCCTTATGATTTCCATACAGGATGTTTAGCTTATTAAAAATTCATAGCCTTTATGAATACAGGTATTCGGAGTTTAAAGGGGCACTGACACCCCAAAGGTCGTATTCTTTTTTATTGTCTAAAACGATGCAAGTTGTAGTCATAGACACGCAAAAAAAACCGCATCGCGAAAAAAAATTTCCCCGCGCGCGCGCGCGCGCTTTTTTATTTTTGGCGTTTATATTTCCCGCGCTAACCTCCTTGCTTCTTTTGATCGGTGACGTCAAAAATCAGGAAATTTAGAAGCTTTGTAGGCGACATTTCTATAACATTTAATAACGGCAATCGTAAAACATGTTTTTTAACGCAATGACGAACGCACTACGGCCTTTCATTTTGAAATACCAAAAATCAGATTTCGGTGTGATGTCGCTTCCTGAATTTGTGTTCTCCCTCGGAAACCTTGGCGGCGCTCGAGCAGAGGCTTATCGCCGAGTCGGGGAAGACCGGTTTTTCCCCGCGTCGGCTCCCTTCTATCCCGCCTGCTCACCTCCTCCTCTCTTCGGGTCGCGGTAGCAACGGCGCTTTGCTTCACAGCGTGGTGCGGAGGTCCGAAAGAAAGTCGAGTCGCAGGAGACCGCAAAATTTGACTCACTGCGCTGGCGCGGATCGCGCGGGAACTTCAAATTCGGCATTTGGAAATTGTTTTTTTAATTCACAAATACTGAATTCCCAAGTTTCGAATTTTGAGGGTAATGTCCCGGCATCATTTTCAATCGTTTCGGAAAATAAAATAAATTACGATTTTGATGTGTCAGTGCCCCTTTAAAGTCAGAAAACAGGAAACATTATAAATCGTTGTCGACTCTAGCGGCATTGACACCAAATCTACACGTTCAATTAACTAGACACATGGAGTATTGGAAGGTTGTCTACTGTTCTACTAACTATGGTAGGCAAATGTTGCGATATACCATACTAAAACTGTTAAATTTCCTTCTAGAAAAAGATATTTTCATTGACACTACCTCCTTCAAGGCTTTGCGTTCTCTTTATCTGTACCACCGATTTACCTCCCCCAGTTAAATGAATCTTTAAAATTGTTTATGCTATATATAATGCACTCTTTTTGTGTTTTTCGGATTTCTGTCTGCAACAACTGTGCATGCCATCTGTTTAGGTGATTAATAACTGTCTGTAATCTGGTGCATATATATATATATATATATATATATATATATATATATATATATATATATATGTGTGTGTATAACGTTTTTTTTGTTTTTTTTTTAGCTGCAATGCCAATGTATGGGGCCGAGGGCTGGTCAAGCCTCCTTTAAGGCTTTTACCCTTTGCTCCACCATGCTTCATGAAAAATAAACGATTATTATTATTATTAAATATACACGAGAAAAAGTAGGGGCCCAGGGACAAATCCTTGCGTTATACCGGAGGTTACAGGAGCGCTTCTTTTTGTCCGTCCTTGTGTTTCTTCTTTCAATAATCTGTGATTGCAACCGACGTGTTCACCTTCTACCCAGCGTGATACTATAATAACTGACTCGCACTTCCTGCTCCGTGATTGGTTCTTCAGGGATCCTTTCGGCCAGAGCCGCAACTTTATTGGCCCTGCAGCAATTAGAAGATCTTCGGGACTCGCCACGTCTGGCGTTTGTTCAGTTGTTGTGATCATAGTTTCTTAATTTTATTGCTGACGTACACACTTAGGCAACTATGATCGACCCATTAGGTAATGAAGTGGCGCCTCGTGAAGCATATATCTAATTTAACCGTGTTTTAGAGAGAAAAACCACATCACTATGTGCTAATTTTTAAACACGTGATGAAACTCCGAAGATTCTAACAGAGCTTTTATAAAAAAGTAGATGGATACTTTTGAAACAAATCTAAAAGCATGAGAGATAAGACGTACAAAAGGAAGGAGGAAGGAAAACATTGTGAGCCATTCCACTTTGTGAAGGTGGGTGGCCAGCGAAGCTGTAGAGCACCACCCCACATGATTCACCTAGGGACACACACAAGCAGTTCACCAAATGCTTATTTAGATAGTCTTGAAACGGTAGTGATGATTGCATTGTGATCACTATAATATGCACTAATGGGTTCCATTACAACTTTGGTGAGATTCTTTGCTAAAATAAAACCTATAGATATGATGCTTTACATCTACAAAAAAACCGCTGATTTTATATTTGTAAAGCAGTGACGTCACCCGACTCGAGCCGGGGAACGCCCATTGTTCTCGAATGGATCGTCCTTATCACACGTTTCGACGTCTTTTCTTATCAAAATGCACATCGAGGTGACGAGGGTGACTCGATATCAAGATGCATATCGAGGTGACAAAAGTTTGCGCTTTCACATGTGATTTACTTTCTGCACACGGATACTAAAAATGCACGGAACCCTAGACAGAAACAGCTTCGCTGCAATAAGCAATGTTTCGGGCGCACGCCCTTCGTCAGACTATGCAAAAGCTTCAAATTAACTTTGTTTACAAAGTTAATCACAAAGTTTTACTGTGCATTGTAATATTTGGAAACAAAATACGATTACCAGAGAATGAGAAAACTTCAGACATTGTTATGGATCCCATAAAGCCCTTGAAGAGTTTGAATGATTTGTAGTGGTAGCTATTCACCTCGCAGCATTGAGAATAAAATTCCTAACTTTGTTCTTTGCAACGCAATTTGTTTTGCTAGCCTACCTCCTGGCTGACGCCGGGTATGATGTCTGGCTGGGCAACGTACGTGGGAATACGTATTCTCGTCATCTCAGGCACACGAGGAAGCAGAAAGAATTCTGGGACTTCAGGTGGGTAAACTTCACCGACCCACTGTTGTTACTGACAGTTAAAAAGACGCAGGGCAGTAGCTATCATGTTCGCGCTTTTTTACTTGTTGATTCGTTGTGTGACGTTTTGATTGGTTAAGGCATCAATTTCATTGGGCGCAGAGCCATACTACGATGCTTGGGAATCGCCACGCCCGGCGTTTCTTATGGTGAATTCGCGTGGTGCTTTTAGAGCGCTCTAGAGTGCCAGGGAGCGCTCTCGAAGGGAGGGAAGCCCTCGGAATTAACCAGCTGATCACGTCGCCGCGCTCTTTTTTCACCTCCGATCTGGAGCGCTCTCGAAAAAGTTCTCTAGAGCGCGCTGAAAGCACCTCGCGAATTCACCATTTTTCTGTCAGTGACTATAAATATTTCCACGAAGCCAAAAGGTGTAGATTTGTGTGTATTTAAGCTTAAATAAGCTAATATATAATTTTACTTTCCATGTCACGTGCTACCACATTTCTCAGACGGCGCTTTGACAACCCTTGCGTAAAAAAATTTCGAAGAGAGTGCACACTCGGCTAAGCTTAGTCAGTCGAAGTTCAAAAAAATCAAACAGTCCACGTGATGTGGCTTGTTCCTAATAATTTGATGTCCTTAGTCCTTCATAAGAGTAAAGTTGCTTTTTGAGGGACGCCTCATATTCTTCGTAATTATATAACAATAAGACTGTCAACTACTTAGACAACTTATATTCATTTTTTTTAAACTGAATTCGGACTATGCTTTGGAGAGCTGCCTATGTCAAGGCAGAACCGCGGCAGGTAGTGTGGTTGAACTAAGTTTTCAGATGAGAAACAATACTACGCAATAATGAAGTAAACCTTTCAAGACTAGTTGCCACATTTCTTTTCCTTATGAGACGCGAAGCCTTCCGACTCACGAGGGCATGAATCATGTTTGGTATTTCGTGCCAAACTAACACGGCTGCTGCGGTAGCTTCGACCAGATGATCAGGTACGACCTGCCGGCGATGCTCGATTTCGTGCTCGCCCAGACCATGGAGGAAGAGCTCTTCTACGTCGGACACTCGCAGGGAAGTTTGATGCTGTTCGGTCTACTGTCAGAGATGCCCGAGTACAGCAAGAAGGTGAGCTGAACCGTACGTGCACGAGTGAATTACGTGTCATGGTAACACACTAGGTGTGTTACCATGACACGCCTTGTCTGTGAGTGACTATGTGGCGAGAAACTGAAGGAGAGGACGAGGCGAGATAGTGCAGGGACGTCAGAATGCCGAGCTCTGGTTGGAGCGATTAGTAGGTGGAGACACAAAGCTATAGCTGCATTTGTGTCTACTAGCTCTTGGAACGCGTCCGATTTCCGAACACCCACATCCGGCGTTCGGTATTCACGTCCGAACGCGTTCGAACAGTGTGTATGGACAAAGGAAGCTAGCTTCCCGTCTACCCATTCATTGATCCTGTCAGAGCTCGGCTAGGGTGGGCTGGCGAGTGTGTGTGCTCATTGCTTAGTTCGGCATAGTAGGCTGGAAGTATTGCTGTGGGTGTCCTCCGATTCTGCGCATTGTGGCAGATTCGCAAGGTGGCGCTAAGGCCTTCAGGCAAGTCACGTGTGGTAACCTCCCCTTGTTCAAGCCAGTTAGGAAACGTGTTATCTGGGACCAAAACGAAAAAAGGAGAAGACATTGAAGATATTTTGGATATCAGCCTTTGCTAAGGTGAACTCCAGATCTTGCAGAAGTGTAGTAAGTTGGGCGAGTTGGCATGATGACATGATGAACAGAACAGCGCACACAAAGACAAGGACAGAGAAAAGGAACATGCAGGACACACAAGCGCTGACTCGCAACTGAATTTATACACAAAAGAAAGAAGAAGAAAACGTTCTGAAAGACACGCAGGGCACGCAGTGCTTATGACACGCGACACAACACCATCTAACTGCAATGTCTTTGCCCCATAGTCCTTTCTAAAAACAAGGTTTCAGTGTTTAGTAGTGTCACTGATGGGTGGCTGACGCAGCAGTCCCCCAGGCTGTTGATGCAATGTGCTTTTAAGATTTCGCGAGTTGTCTTGTCTCGATAGTGTCCAATTATTGTTGTGCCTTTTAGAATCGGAGCACACGAGCAGGAATTGCAGTGAACGGGAAGGTGACCACCCACCGTAGATTTTAGTGAACGATCATGCTCGAGAAGGCGATCGTTTAGGCATCGTCCGGTTTGGCCCATAGCTTCTACCACACGTTAATGGGATTTTGTACACCACGCCAATTGAACACGGCACATAAGGGTGGCTGTGGTGTTTTCGGCTCCTAAAAGAATGGCGCAAATCTGTTCAAAGGTTCACTCGATAGCGGATAACCTCAACAAAGGCAAGTGCCAGAAACGCCACAGCCACCCTTATGTGCCGTGTTCAATTGGCGTGGTGTACAAAATCCCATTAACGTGTGGTAGAAGCTATGTGGGCCAAACCGGACGGTGCCTAAACGATCGCCTTCTCGAGCATGATCGTTCACTAAAATCTACGGTGGGTGGTCACTTTCCCGTTCACTGCAATTCCTGCTCGTGTGCTCCGATTCTAAAAGGCACAACAATAATTGGACACTATCGAGACAAGACAACTCGCGAAATCTTAGAAGCACATTGCATCAACAGCCTGGGGGACTGCTGCGTCAGCCATTTGAGAGAATTGTAAACGTCAATTTTTTTAAAGTGTCTTTATTAAGGGGTATCGAAGCCGAGTGGGCTAGCGCCCACCTGATCGGAGTACGTGGAGAGGAAGCTCGCGCTGGAGAAGGAGAACCCAGTGATTCTGAGCTCAATCCCCAGCCCTGCCCGAAGAACACACTTCCAATGAAGTGAGTTCGGGGAGCACACTACGTTCGCTCCGGTAGACGAAGTGTGTAATATCGATAGCAGTGTTTAATGAGTTAAAATAACAAAAGAAATTAACGCTGCGTAAAATTAGTATTATTTTGATAAGACTAATGTTAGATGCGCATTTGTTTTCTGTTGGCAGGAAAGTAGTGCATTGTAGAAAAACAAGCGGCTAATCTAGTTTCCAGCCTTGGCCCCTGCGCGACGGCCGACGAAGGCCAGGAGGCACCTGCACGACTCCACCAGGAATCTGAAGGTGGCAGGAGAGACGCGAAAGGCTTTCTTGAAGTAGAACTCGCCCAAATGGGGCAAGGTGTCTTCGAACCACCGTTCGTTCCTCTGGAAAGTCCACCGTTGTCGACTGATCACGGGTAGGTTGTCGGTCATGAGAGTGGCTATGGTGAAGGCATTGGCCTGCAGCTGCTGATCGATGTTACTTGAAATTCTTGCCTGTGCGTCGGCATCCAGGTCCAGCTGCCTCTTATCTGAAAGGCGTTGGGCTCTCACAGAGAAAAGTGCCCCAAACATGCGCTTCCACTGTCCAACATCGCGGATATTGCCCTCCGGCTCGTCCTCCACACACTCCATGATGTTTCATTGTGGCGAGTGGCGAGTGGCCGAGTGGGCTCGCGCACACCAGCTCGGAGCACGTGGAGCGAAGGCTCGCGCTGCAGAACCCAGGAATCCTGGGTTCAATCTCTACTTCTGCTCGTTTCGGTCTGTACTCCGTTTCACCTTATGTTGTACCGCAGACAAGGCTAGATGCGCGAGCTCAGAGCGTTGGGAGCTACTCTTAACGCACGAGAGCTTGTGCCGCCTTGATATGCCCTAGAGCAAAGAGCTCGCACTTGTAGCCTTTTCTGCGGTACATCATAAGGTGAAACAGAGTATCGTACCGGCGTGCGGACGTGTATCACTGGCTTGTAATGGCTGATCGTAATGATGAAATTAGATTTAAATTTGGATTAAAACTCGTGACTTAGCGCAACAATGTGTGGTAACGTGTTTCTAATAAGACGACGAAGTTATTTATGAAAAAATGCGTATGCACTGTAATATGTTGCGTGCCATTACTTACCCATCGTTATTGCCATCATTTTGGAATGACACTAAGTTTTCCCGCGTAGCACCAACACACTTGGAGTGTGTTTCGACGGGTTGAAGTGCACTCGCTTGTAGTGACACTAAACTAGCCCGTCTGACAGGGGTATTAGAAGCACATTGCATCAACAGCCTGGGGGACTGCTGCGTCAGCCACCCATCAGTGACACTACTAAACACTGAAACCTTGTTTTTAGAAAGGACTATGGGGCAAAGACATTGCAGTTAGATGGTGTTGTGTCGCGTGTCATAAGCACTGCGTGCCCTGCGTGTCTTTCAGAACGGTTTCTTCTTCTTTCTTTTGTGTATAAATTCAGTTGCGAGTCAGCGCTTGTGTGTCCTGCATGTTCCTTTTCTCTGCCCTTGTCTTTGTGTGCGCTGTTCTGTTCATCATGACTCCAGATCTTATTTGTCTTCAGCACCCGCGTGTACTTTCAAAGCTTCTAAAGACGTGTAGACTTTATCGCTTGACCATAAGGACCATTTCAATTATGTAGCCCTTGCCCAGCATTGACCGCACGTTTCCGCATTGTCCAATTTAGTTTCGGCACATTGAGGGAAATAATCCACGACTTTTGGACAAATGTGGATGCGCTTTGATCGAATCTGATGCAATCGTTATGGATCTGCTCAGCCAATCATCTACCTGAGTGGCGTCCCTGATTGTATTGGCATGGACAGAAATCGTACAAGCGTTCGGTCGTGTAATCACAGCAGCGCAAAGCACATTAGAGGCCTCGGGTTAACGGTCCCAGACCGCACTCGATAAGTTCCTCTCCACAGCGTCGAACGATGCCGCCAAATCTCGGAGGCGAATCGACCTCTCGCTATTTGAGCGTTTTGGTTTTCATAAAGGCACGAGTTCATTATCGCAGCGGGAGACCTTTACGGGAAAGGAGATAAATTGCAATGGTTGCACAGCGGTCAGCAGCAGCATGCAACTGAGTACTGCCGATTGCTACAATACCAGATGTTCGTAGCACGTGTAGCGACGCAGGAAAAGGGCGCGCAGTGCTCGGCAGGTATTTTGGTCAGATTCGATGACTGCGCCATCTACTTCCGCCCTGAATCACTGCATTGAATCGATGCAGGCGATGAGCACACCTCCCTCTTCAGCCACCCTAGCTCGTTGTTCTGACGTCCCAGCGCACTCTCTTCTCTCTTCTCTTTCTCAGTTTCTCGTTGCGCATCCATCTTCAGTTACACCAAAGTCTAAAGATCGGTAGGGCCCCTACCTGGCAGTCGGGGCTGATTTTACGGCAGAGGGACATTGGTATATGTAAAAAAAATTGTATGGCATAGTTAGGGGTTACCGTAAAAGTATGGGCTACATCGTAAATTGTTTACAAATACCCAAACCTGTGTACGACGTGACACCTATCAAAGTGTGACGTCCGCCATCCCCCGTCCCCCCCCTTTCCCTTTCCAACCACACATATGAACACGCACAGATACCCCTGGAAACTTACAATAATTACAAAAAGTTTCGGGTGCTGCAAAATAATGTAATAAGACCAAACTAGTGTGCGATACCCACAGCTGTGGTTTCACGAAACAGGTAAGACAGTACGCGGGACATCTTTAATGCTTGAGGAATGAATTGGAAGGCTCACAGCATTATACACCCTTAATTTTTGTCTGACCCACTTTCTTTTTCTCTCTCTTTCTCTTGTTCCCTTAATTTCTAGATCAAGTTGTTTTCAGCCCTGGGACCGGTGACAACTGTGGGCTACATGACATCCCCAGTGCGATACCTGGCGCCATTTGCGGAGGACAGTAGTGTAAGAAACGTACCTTTGCTATGACCTCTTTAAGAGTATATGATTCATTCATAATCAAATACATTACAATCACTATAAAAAAAACTAAACAGAAATAAACCTCGCTCGACTTAGCATTAAGTTTTGTTATTGGAGAGTTTGAGCAGAGCTATACCGGTGGCTATTCGCGACTCCAGCGAACCATAGAGGGCGCGCTGCTCAGGAAAAATGGCGGACGAAAGGAGGTCGTTTTCGCCGTTCAGTACGCGGACCACCCCAAATTCCTGCACAGCAACGTAAAATCAGTGTTACATTTGAAAGCAACGGGATTTTTTGACGGTAGAAACCTTCTTCTAGTCAGTGCGTAGGAATGACATGGCGGAATCATAAAAATAATTACTGGAAACGATGTTTGTTTCTATGCTCCCTACGAGAACCAAGCAGCGATAGCAGACGACAGAGTCGAAACGACTTCCTCTCCTGAACTTCTCGGCGCTGCCGCTACCCGGCGTCGATTTCTCTGGAGTCGCGAATACAGCAGGCACGATATTCCTCCGACCACGCCATTGAGAGTACGCTTAGAAATCGAAAAGCGAACTTCCGATAGTAACAGCGCTTCAGGCGGTAGTGCTAAGCTAAAAGTCCCCGATGTAAATTGTGCCTACAATACGTGAAGATTGCCTTATAAAGTCCCCGGATAAAAACCGCTATTACTGTTTTCGCACACCGTAGATCTGTTGCACGGCCAAAACCCTTCTTAAGAATTCTCACAAAATGTTTACGATGTATAAACGCCGCGAACGACTGTACACACATCTAGAAACGCCGACGCACACGTGCCGCTGAGTAATGCAATGGAAGCACTCATTCCTTATCTTTCTGTCTTTCATAAGTGACGAGAACAACCGGGCTACAATGGTGCCTCAGACTGAGTGGTAGGACGGGTTTCATCTCTTTTACCACTAAGCTCATTCGAATTCGCCCGCACCTTCTTCTGCACCAGCCGCTCTCGCTGCCAAAACGCCGTATACAAATTTAGGAGTGCCGCCCATCAGAAAAACACAACCGCATTTACATTGCCCTGCAATTTTTTTTTGCACCACGCTACACTTTTTTGCACCGGCGCAGGCTATAGTTGAGGTAACTCGAATGAGCCCGATGTAGAGTTACTGACAGCTTGAGAAAGTCAGAGTGCAGATGATCATGTTCACACGTCGCGTTTCACGATCCGCTGTTCGGCGTTTTAATCGGCAGATACCTTAGTTTGCTGTGGAGGAACAATAAAACGCTCGTGACTCCGTGCGCGCTCTGCATTCCTTAAGTAACTATGCAGCTGCAGGACCATTGAAATAAGGTACTGGTCACTTCGGCGACTTGCTAAACTGACTATACGGAGTGAAAGTTCGACCCCCCCCCCCCCCCCCCCCCGTGAAAGCGTCCATGTGTTTTCGTGCCCCCCCCCCCCCCCCCCCCCCCCCCTCCCGACCCGAAGCATGACAGCGCGCCCTTGGCTGCCTCGACCGTCATTGAACGTTCCTTACGCGTTCCCTAAATTGCCTTCTGATTGGCGTTCTCTTCATTGCGTTCCGATGCGCCAAAAACAACGCTTTTCAGAATATTTACTCGCCGTACTGACGGCGAAAAGTATCACCAACAAGGACGCCAAAAGATGGTCACGCTACGCGTTTCTCTAGATGGGAGTGATCATAAGAGAACACCCGTCGTTGACTTGGCGCTTCGAGGAAATTTTGGGACTGTCATGCTGCAACAACAACAATATAATATAACAGGAGAGTTAAAGTCTAAAATATATGATTAGCTCGTGCTCGCTGAAGCATAGTGTGAAGTAGATCCGTATTCAGAGAATTTGGTCGTTCAGTGGCAAGACTATTGCACCGAAATGAGGGAAAGCTTTGGTCGAATTGGGCAGGGCATGCGCGCAAACACACACTCTGGCCAACCTCTAGTCGAGAATAGTGGTTGTAAAATGTGTAAACACAATCGCAAGCGGGGGTGCTACTGAACGAAAACACAGGCCGGTATCACTCCCTCAGTTCAACGGCGCGAGAGAGTCAACGGCGATGAGTCTAGGCGGCTGAAAACGATGCGCGCATGGTTGTCAAGTCACAGCCGTAATGAACGGTGAAGTAAGCGACTTGGAAGCATCCCTGAGCTGTTTACGTGGAGTCGCGGAATACAATAAGCTTAGAGTGTCCACACTCCATTTCCAAATATTGTTTTGTGGACGCCGCCATTTCGGTACTTAGTGCAGATCTAGTGGGTGTCTTTTGCAATCGTTACGATTCGTAACGGTTCAGGAATCGTTACGATTGCGAATCGTTACGATTCAAGAATGCAGCTCCGTGAGCTTCAGTTACGGTGTCGGGAAGCTCAAGAGATGTCATATTGCTTCGTCGTTAACCGGCTTAACGTTCCTGGAAGACTCAAACCCCTTTCCTGCGATTTCAGATAGAGTTTGAAATAACCGATAAATAGGATTTCTAGCACCAAGATGGCAAATGTTTCGTTACTGTGAAGCGTTGCCTATGTCGTGGCTCTATAGGGTACGTGGGAACAACGAAAAAAAAAAAACATTAATTAGATGTGCCTTAAGGTTTGAGAATGAGTAATGTGTTCCATTTTACATTTCAGATACTCCTACGTTTTTTCGGCGAGTACGACTTTTTGCCGAGCAACTGGTTTATAAGGCTGTTGGCTAAAACGATGTGCCGCTACGCCATCTCGCGAGAAATTTGCGAGAACGCCATGTTTATTATCTGCGGCACCGAAATGAAGGAGATGAACTTGGTAAGTTGAAGATCACAGAGACGGAACCAGGTTTTCTCATATCGGGAAGATAGAAGCTTGGGTTTCGCGCCTGAGATATTCTACTGCTCGGTTAAAACATGTCTCAAAATTTCCAACAAAGACTGCTCTCTCCTGCCATTTGAACCTATTGATCTACAAACAGTGGCATCCAAAGAGGGGGGAGGGCAGAAAAAAATGGAGAGGCGGTGAGGTCTCCCCCCCCCCCCCCCCCCCCCCCCGGCGGTTCCGTTTCCAGAGATATAAGACATTTCTGCTACAGAATTCCCAAGAAATACGAGGAAAATCTCATGCCCCCCCCCCCCCCCCTCCATTTTGCGAAACACTTCCGACTTTCCTGTGTAAAAGTGTCTTTATTATAACACTATCATTATTCTACATTGAAACGCCAACATATCACGCAAAATGTACCAAAATATATGATTAAAAAACAAACAAACATGGTGACAGTTCGATTTTTCCTACAGACACGTCTGCCAGTTTTCATCAGCCACACACCGGCAGGAACGTCTGTGAGGAACATGGTACATTATGCACAGGTGAGAACACTGGTAGACTTTATCACCTAGAAAATAGCACAAATACGTGAAAGGGAGCTCATTTCAGTGCATTTCAATTTCAAAACAGATGGTCCTGCACAAGCGATTTCAAATGTTTGACTATGGAACCGACATGAACCGGCAGGCTTACGGACAGGTAAGATGACGGTCGTGTCTGCGACCTTATGCCAAACTTTCTTTTACTAATAGACCGATCTCACTGTACTCTCGATGGGCGTGCCCTTGCCCATCGAAAGTGCATATTATAGCAGTGCATTCGCGCCTTCCACCCCTTTTCAAGAAGGCCGCAGCATTTTACCCCCGAGCACAGGAAGCATGGCTGTAACTTTGTGAAGAAATTCCCTCGCACATTTTTACTAAAGCTAAACCGAAGAGGTAACCATTGCTATCTACAAAGGAAGTTTGGCGAACGACGAGGCCTCGCATACTTTTTTTGTATTTACCCGTTTGCAGTACGGTCTCAGGTCTCCGCCATCTTGCTCGCTTGGTGTGTGCTTGGGCGCGTCCTAATCCGGTTATGACGGCTTTCTAAAGCGTCGTAATCCGATTATTCCGTGAACGAGAACACCCCAAGCGAGCAAGATGGCGGCGCCCCGAGGCCCTACTTGCAAACGTGCACCGGGTGTTTCTGAGAAGGCATTCAAGGTAACCTAAAACCAGGGTGTTTTAGAAAACAAGAAACTCTTTCCGGGAACAAATTGCCAACAACAGCGAATTTCTGAAACTCTAAAAAAAAGAAAATAATATTAACTATTCTAGTAATTACCGAAAACTTAGTAAATAACATCTTTACTTAACGAAAATAAACATATGGTTCCAATCACAAACCTGCTGAGCGTCATCGTAAACACCAAAATCAGTAAATTTTATAACGACTTGCGGCGCGTGGGAAACGCGGAGGTGCGGGAAAGTTACCAGTCGTGCAGCAGGCGCAAGGCCAGAGATGCGAAAACGTGGACGCTATCCTTTGTATTCCCAATTTTGTGAATGGTAAAGTGTTCTCCAAAATGATGCACGTAACGTGCCCACTGCCTTAAAAAAAAAACAAAAAAAAAAACACGGCGTTTTAATCTTCAGAAATAGACTACGCATCACCGCATTCGACGTGCACAACGTTCTGGAGCAAAAAAAAACATGTTTTTTATCTTAAAAGGTAGATTACGCGTCGCCGAACGTTTAGTCTCCTCCACAATGTAGCTGTAACGGTATGAACCAAATGCCAAAGTTCTACAATGGACCGTTATTCGATTCATAAGCTACCCGCGATTTTCGAGAACACCTAATGAGAAAACGGCTGCGAACAAAACCAGCCAATACGTGGAGATGAATGGCGTCTACTATAACAAAAACAATAACAAAGAGTGTAACTACCCCTACCTATCAAAGCGATACCAAAGCTGCATTTATTGAAGATCATACAGACTATCCATTCATGAACACCCAGAGGTCGCCCAGAATCGTTTGATTCTTGTTGATTAGAAACAACCAGAAGCTCGTTCGCGAGTGATAACCGGCAGATCAAAAGTTCACTAAGCGCAATGCTGTTTTCTATCTATTTGAACAAACAGAAGGCAGTAGTCGTCGAAGTATGAAAACTCCAACTAGGGCATCATATTGTATCGACGAGAATGGTCGTCTCTTCGCGCCCCCTGCCGTAACCTGCCCCGATACAGCGCTGAACAAATCTCGCATCGTAATCACAAAGATCTGTCGTCGCCACAAAGGAATGGTATAAAGGCAAATGTATCTACAAGGCGCGATCACCAGAGAAGTTGCGACGGTATAACGGATCATTAGAAGGTAAACATATTCGGAAGAAATCTGTCTAAATAAAAAAAAAAATGACTAAGCTAAAAAAAAAAAAGAAACTCCAATTACAAATTTGTAATAAATAGTCCCGACGTTTCGAAGCTTACTTGGCCCCATCTCTGGGGGTGGTTATAGGTCGTATGCGGCAGACACATCTTCAACCTCTTCGTCTTTGTAAATGAGAAAACATTATTTCTTCTTTTTAAGTCGGCGGTGTTTTGGTCACTGTTCTTGTAACGTAACGTAGGCCTTGCGTTTTTCTTTTTAATTTATAGCGACACAGTCTTTCGAAACTAAGGTTGTATACGAGAGACAAAGACACTTCGTTGAAGTAGGTCCCGAAGCTCTAAAAACAAAATAAATGGTGTTTTTCACAGTTTTATTGTTTAATCGCCTCGTTTGCCACAATCATATGCGAAAGGCAGATGTGTCGAAAATCCACTGGTCGCCGAGAGCATGCACGGCCGCTATCCAAAGCTTCAATAAAAATTAAAGATGTGCGTTAAACGCAAAAATAAACAAGGTTGTAAACAGCAGCGTGTTACAGATATATGCAAATAAATACGTGCGATCACGCACATTGAAAGAAAAGCGGACGAGAAAACCAGCGTCAGCTCCACAGCTACCTACCGCTGCGTAGCTTTCCCGGTTAGGGCTAACACGCACTGAGAGTGAATAGCTGAATTGAAAAGAAAGGTTGATTAACGCTTCACATTTCAATATTTTGCATTCTTGTTACTAATGAAGGTAATTTTATGAAAACTTTTACACCGTTGAAACCTGGAACACGTGTGACATCAAGTCTTGTCCACCGAGTCGACCGCCGGAAATCAGTCGCCATGTTTAAAATCCTGGATTAAAGAAACACGCAAAGAGCAAAGCGCCCCATCTTGAAAACTTGCAATAGGCGTGTTTCAATGTCCGCTTTAGCGATAAGCAATTTCGGTTCAAAAGAACAGAACCCAAACTCAGCTTGGGTAGGCGGTAAATTCAGATTTGCGCCAAGCGGCGTTGGTGCAACCGGCTCTGGTACTTTCAGTTGGTCTTAAAACATCGTTTCCACGCAGGCCATACCACCAGAGTACAACGTCACCGGAATTAGCGTTCCCGTCGCTCTCTACTGGAGCCTCAACGACTGGTTCGCAGATCCCAGAGACGTGGCTCTGCTCAGCAAGCGCTTGCCGAAACTGGTCCTCGACTTACAGATACCGGACCCGACATTCACCCACCTCGACTTCATCATAGGCCTCCATGCCAAAGCTCTCGTCTATGATCCTATGATGAAACTAATGTTTCATTACGGCAAACCGCACCCTCCTTACATAGTTTAGAATATTGATACATTGTTGTTGAGTGTTTCTGTTAATAAATAAACGAGTTAAGCGTGGGCGGTTTGGAACCGAATGAATCTTCTCTCCTGGGTGCGCCTTTTATATTGTAAATGCGAAACGAGTGCGCCCGCCACCTCCAAAAAGGGCATCCAGTTAAAAAAAAAAAAAAAGTGTGGGAATTTACTTTTGTGCGGAACATGAAGACAGCCGATCCCGGCGAAAAATAGAAGGGTCTCGGCTAATGACAAGGTTCAAAATACGATTAGATTTCAGTAATGCAATTCGCGCAGGGAGAGTGAGCAAGTAAAGTATAGTTGAAATATAAAATATTTATTTAGACCGCTTTAAGGGACATAGAAAGAGAGAGAGAGAGAGAGGAAGAGTAAATGGTGTCGAGACCTGTACTCGTGGTACGGAAGGGGGAGGAGGGAATTATGAATGCACTTCTAAGCTAGATCCGTGAATAAAATCTAGAAGCTAGCACTAAGCCTACATTTGATTGTCTAAAAGAGAGAGGTGAAGACCCATTCACTCTTGGCAGTCACCCCATACTTTCAGTGCAACATTCATGCTCATTGTAACTTTGATCATCGCATTTATCGATTGAATCCTCGATTTAAAAACATTTCAGCCTTTCAACTCTGGTGAAGAAGGAAGCCCAGCGAAGCTGTACAATGGAAAGTAATGGCCGGCTGCAAAACGACAAGCCAGAGTGGAAAGGCTGCCGCCATCTATAAGCGACGGTGGCAACCAGACACCTGGCTTGCTGCCGTCGCTCATAGATGGCGGTAGGTGTCCAGAGTTCCGTGTCTTCATTCCTTTGCGGGGAATCCAATCCTGGGGAACCTAGTCCTTAACAGCCCCGCTGTAAAAGTTGGCTGCAGAAACCGCTTATGTTAGTTGTCCATGAACTGCAATAGCATGCGTCATGTTTACCCCATCCTTTTGTTACGGGGTCATAGACGACGTCAAGAACGGCGTTCTATACGACGCCGTTGTCGTCTAGAGGCCATCGCTCTTCAAACGCAAAGCGCCTTATTGTTTGAAGACTTGTGCCTTCGTCGCGTGTCCATAGGAGTTAAGCCTTTTTCTTTTAGAGCGCAGCTCTTAGGCACCCGTTCCGGCTGGAGCGGTATCGCCGTCGCCGTCGGCGTCGGCGTAACCGCGCGTTGCATTATGGGAAACGTCCCATAATGCACCGCGCTAAAACGTCGCGTGACGACGCGCGTTTCGCGCGTGAAAGAAGGAGGAGGGGAGGAGGAGAAAGTACGGATGAGGAGGAGGGGCGTACCCTTCCCTCAGTACCCTCCCCTCCTCCTCCTCAAGAGCTGCGCTCTAAATCGGGGTTACAGGAAGTTGTAAACGTCTTTCATATTTGTTTTTACTTTTTCCTCAGGAAAGTTTGCTCTTAGCAAATGTTGTCGAAAATATCCACTGCCCGGGAAACGCTGCGCAAAATCGTTGGGCGATAACTAAAAAAAAAAAAAAAAAAAAAGAAACCGATTTTATGGTCAATTTAAAGAGCCTAGCCCCGCCTCTCGCCGCAACACACAGACCATCGGAAAGTAAGAAGCTGACTGAAAGGCTAAGATTTCTCATTTCGAAGCGAGAAATATGTAGAACAAATGTCGGGCCACGTGAATGAAGTTCAGGAAGTTGTTCTCATGCACAACAACCAAAACATTTCTGCGATGTGCAAGCACCGGCGTGCTTGCACATCGCAACACACTCACCATGGCCTCCGATATTTTTTTCGCGCTCCGCTCCGGCCTTTGCAAACGCTTGGCTGCCCAGCAGAAAAAAAGCGAGCCGAGTAATTTCTCCAGTTTTCTTTAACGTGCGTCACTACTGCGTGATGCACGTGAAAGAATCCAGGCTAGCAGTTTGTACTGCACGGGCTAAACTGCTGGAGGAGGAAAGCGTCGGACGGGCCAAGAGTCGAGTCTGGAGAGCGAGGGAGAAGAATGAGGAGAATCGGGGAGAAGAGATCGGAACGAAAAGGGGGAACGGGACCGCTACAGACGCCGACAGAACTGTGAAAACGAACGGACCTCTATGTGGCTGTGTATATCTTCTAATCATCCGTAATATTGTTGTCTTGTGTGTCCAAACGTCGTCTACGCATTTCATTCCTCACACGCGACTTTAGCACCGAGGTGGATAGACCCTGGTCAAAGCAAACTGGAGAAGCTGACAAAGAAGAAGCGAACGCGTAAATTGTTTCGGTAACTATCGCGGAGCTGCCCTGCTCCTTCAGATGTTCTGGAACTACGACATGCGCGTAAGGTGCTCACAGATTCTTGCTTATTGATTTGTTGGCCATTAAAGAAATAATCTGCTGAATGTTTTACTAAGAAACTGGATGACCTTACGCACACACCGTAGATGTATACTTGTTGACAACAAGATCTGCGCAAGGTGTGCGCTTGTGCAGTGTCGACAGCAGCGCCACCGCTGTGCCTTGACGTCAGAGAGAGCTGCGCTTCAGAGTAACGACACTATAGTACACTCTAACAACATTAACTTATCCTTCTGGTTTAATATTATAGTTGCTAGTTATCTTAAGTTTTACCTGAAATCAGAGGAAACGCTTTTCCGTCCTCCACAAATGTTTGAACAGATCTCGACAGAGCAAAGCAATGTTACATGAGCTTGCTAACACCGAATCTAATGCTGAGGGAGTCGCACTTTTGGATCATCACAATCGGCAGTTGCGTCTGCTCTGCACAAGCTCCAAGATGGTGGCGACCACAACAATATCGGGGAGCAGAGTGCCGATAACCTAAGCGCAGCTCATATAGTGACTTTAGCGTATACAATTGGCAGCTCATCAGAATTTTGTTTTAATATATATATTTGTTTCTCACCTTGGTTTTTCTGAACCTTTTCTTACTAACTTTAAATTTTTGTCGATTTTTTATGATCTGCGAAGAAAAAGAAGTAACTCAGCATTGTCATAGGTTATGACGGGAGATTACCGCAGCAGTCTACACGAGGAAGAAGAAGGAGATGGAACCCGTTCTGCCTGCGCTTGCGTCCCGAACTATGGCCTTTTCAGAACCGGAGCCCTTGGTCCCTTCGAGGCAGCGGTCGAGACGTGGCCCCAGGCCGTTCCTGGTGCTGGGCATCGCTGCGGTCGTCATCTGCGGCCTGAGTGTCATCGCCTTCTTCCAAATCCGAGTCCACTTGAATCGCTCCCGCAAAGCGGAGCATTCCCGCGCCGATCCTCTTCTGGCCGACACGACGGTCGACTCTTACCAGCAGGGTCCCGTCGTGTTGGCGACGCTCGAAAAGGCAGACTCCGAGACGGAGACGCTGCGCCCCATGTCTCTTTTTCGCGCCGCCAGGGACGTGGCGGGAGGTCACTGACTTCAACCAAACAATGGGAACTTCGTCAAGGCGGTCCTCGAAAGCCATTACAAAATAAATATATGAATCAATGAATAAACATATGCAGTCACTCATAATAAGATCGTTACGCAGAGGATTGGGTTACTCCCTTGTAAAACACGGCCCAGGTTCCAAATCTTGCCCAAATAGATCGGAGTTACTCCCGCGGGTAGTGTCACGTGACATCACAGATTGAAAAGTGCTGGACGCGAGTAGGTTTTGGAACGCCAAAAAATAAAACCCTTACTCTGGAGTAAGATCGAGTAAATTTTGGAACACGGCCAGGATGTTTCCAGGTGCTATAGACCCTTTCCGAAATTTAGTGCCATCTGGTGGTTCGTAAAGCAGTTTAGGTTTTGCCATATCAATGGCGGAGATGAACTTGTATCAGCACCGTCACTTTCGCAAGTCAACGGCACGCGACGAATTGTTCAGTGTGAGTTCTTTCTCGATCACTTTCAGGTCGATGGTGACCAAGAACCTGCATTCAGAGCAAAGCTCCAACCCACTCAGATGCCTCGCGAAAATTCTATACACAAAAGGGCTTTAAAGCAAATTGTGTGCCGCCCACAGATTGACTGAATTTGAGTTATTAGAACTAAACACTTACGTAGCTCTTGTTTTTTATTCCTACGTCGCGTCTTGCTGACCCCCAAACACACAGGCCTCGCATCATCCGCTTAGGAGCATCTTCAACGTCTTCCTTTATCAGTCTCTAGGAGGCCGCCATTGGTATGGCAGAGATGCCGTTCCACAGATGCTGATAGTGATCAAAGTGGCCAGACTGAATTTCAGAAAGGGTATATTATGGTGTAAAATACTTGTAGAAACAATGCGATGAACTGAGTGGAATTAAACTTTTCGAAAAAAGGTCTTTCGGGAGCGCACGTATTATATCCAAAGTTCATGAGATCAGGCTGCAGGAAAAATAAAATGAGGCATAAAAATCTATGGTTTTCCTACGCAGAGGAGGAAAAAATTGGGGAACGCTTATGCTTCACCCTTAAAGCGGCCCTGCAGCGACTTTTTGACTGGTCTTTTATTTGCACCGAAACTGAGCTTACTGAACGTAATAACTTATAGAAACTTTTTTTCACAAAATTCGCTTCCTTTCAAAAGGTACAGCCAAATAAAACGAGCGAAAAATAACCTCCTTCACGACGTCCCTTGTCCTATCCTGGCTTGGGTGGCCAATGGTAGAAGCGAAACGACTGGCCAAATCGTTCAAGCGTGTCTACGTGGTCTATAAAAAAAAATGTGTTCGTGGTTTAGTCGGTAGCGTGTCTGGCTCGCAACAGAAGAGTCGCGGGCTCGAGTCCCACCTCCCCTAAAAATCTTCGAATGTTTTCTTTAACGCAAATGAATTACTTTATGAAGTGAAATCATTTGAGCTGTGCGTCGACTTTCGCTTCAGATGTCATGTTTTATTCACTTTCATTCAACGCGTGACGTCACGCGTGACTTCACACGTGACGTCACATATGTCTGCGACATCATGTCCCTATCGACCAATCAGGATTTTTCGGTCCCACTGACTCCGACGCCGGCGCCGGTGCCGGCTTTTCTGAGACACGAGCTCGTAAACGCTACCGCGTTCAAACGGTAAGAACCGTTCGGTTGTCGCTGCTCCTCACAGATGGCGCGACGCAAACGCGTGAAAACTTCTTTTTGAGATGAG